GACAGTGGCGCCCAGTCCCCTCAGCCCTGCCACTGAGAATAGACAGCGGGGTGTAGGGGCTTCATTGCCACCACTGGGATGGAGCTCCCAAGCTCCAAAGACAGAGAGTGGACAGCAGGGCATGGCAGCTTCATCACCCCAATGGCAGCCCTGCAGCGAGCAGAGAATCACGGGGAATTGGCCTAAGCCATCAGTAGGACATCCCCTGACAGCTCCTGGATTGTATGTCAGGCTGAGGGACACACACACCCCCATGCACGAATTTCATGCACCGGCCTCTAGACTAATAATGAAAACAAATGGACAACTTATAAATATACTGTTTAAAAAAATAAGATTTTGGGCTGGATTTGAGCAATTAAATATGCAGGGAGGGAAAATAACACAGTTTTTGAAAATTACAATTTCTTGAGGTATATTAGGAAAGACATTTTTTTTCCCAATGGAAAGGAAAACAGTTGATGGAATGTCATGATCTTAGTGTCCAAAAGGCCTCAGCAAATCTTACAAAGATGAACTCCAGAGGGCTAAACTTTAGGTATGTACATGGGCCCGTGCGACTAGAATGGACATCTTATAAAAGAAAACCTACCTCAGGTGGGCTTGGTCAACTTCAACAATGATACATTACTGCCAGCACAGGCAAGGTTAATAAATTACAGCTGACTTCCGTTCATCCTACTATGTCAACTCTGATGACACAGACACTTGGCTTCCAAATGCATAGACCCAAAGCCAAACCTGGTACATGTGGTAGCCCCAGAAACAACAAGAGCACTTAATCAATTGAATAGAATCATGAATAGTCTATCTCAATTGACTGTTATGTTTGGTTCCACTTTTTTTTTTTTTTAACTTTATTGTCCTTTGAACGTCCCTAATTACAATATCATCATGATTTTTACTAACTTTATTTTAGGAGAATTTTTTTTTCTTCAAATGGGAATGTTTTGACACTAGTAGAGAGTAAGAAACTTCAGAAATTTTATGTCTAAGTGAGAGTTTACACTTACTAGGTAAATTATAATACATAAGAGTGAAAGGAAATTTAGAAATAGTAATGGAACCACTGAAATTAATATTGGGAAATCACAAAGAAGGAAAATAATTTCAGCAAATGAAATAGGCTGGCCAGATCTTCGGAATGGGAAGAGAGGAAAAACGACTACCATTAAGCCTGATCTTAGCCTCACCAAGTTTCTAGAACAAATTAATTTAGCATATCTAGAACACGTGCTCTCTAGGTCTCATGTACTTCATAAAAGTTGGAAAATAAAGCAGTAACTTCTAGGAGCCAGAATGAATTTGCTAAGTAATCTGAAACGTCTCCTTTTAAATCATAATGATACCATATTCAAATTCATCCTGCCAAATGTTTACGTAGCACTGTGGTTACATAGCTTCATGCTCCATAAGAAAAGACTAGATTAAATTTACATGAAATCAGAATGCAACCGTTTTTCATTTTCCATAAAACCTTTCTGAGCTTTGATATCCTTGTCTACAAAGTGTGAATAATAAAAACCTCTGCTCTACCTCCTGATATAAAGTATGACAAAGTAATTTTAAAACATTAGTGACATGCAGTAAAGAAACCTTACTATCAGCAAGAAGAAAAAAAGCAAGGTGGAGAATGGAGGTGAGAGAAAAGAATAAGGAAAAGCAGAACAATGAACGTGGAACAAAAACATTTTAGGGCAGAAAAGAAACCTTAGCGGAAGAACCGTACTTCTTTTTAAATAAAGGAAATGAAATCCAAGGAAGTAAGGTGACTTGTGTTAAGTCTCACAGCAAATTCATGGTGAGAAGAAAGAAAACCAAAAATGGAAAGGAAAGAAAAGCACACAAAACAACTAAGTGTTAGAAGTCAAAAGAGTTCTCCCAAGAACTGACCTGGAAGGGCTGGTAGAACTGGCCTGGCCCTCTGCTTAGCGCCGAAAATGCTGCTCTCTGCCTTTGGATCTCGGCTGAGGTGACCCATGTTGGATTTCTTGTTCAGTAATGTTCCCAAGGGTGCCAATCAGAAAACAGTCAAGCACCCTTCTGCTCTCAGTGCTCCCCCGTTTTATCCACACCTGCTTCTTTCTTTCCAGGCCAATGTCCAGTGAGGAGGAATCAGAGCCCACACCTGATTCATTTGCTCTTGTCCCTCCATTTTACAAACTCAAGCTATGCTATTCCACCACAAGCCCCCACCACCACAAAAAAAAAAAAAAAAATTCTAGGTTACTCTACATTAGAGATCCAAATTAGTGTAAAGATGCAAAGAAACATACATTCTCAAAAATTTTTCACAGGTTGTTATAGCACTAAAGCATCTAATTACTTTTTTCATTTGAAGAATATATACTTAATGATTTCTTTATTTTTAATGGCAGTTAAGTCAGTAATACTAATAATAGTAGTACAATATGGATTTTATATATGGAGCAGGATCTTTTTCATATGATAGAAAAATTTCTTCTTAGGAATTTATATCTTATTGGAGAAATGAAGATAATGAAAGAAATACCCCCACGAAATAATTTTAGAAACAGGGAGAAAACAGCAACTTCTCAGCCAAATTGTATATAGGTCTCTGGGGTCAGGATGCAGTTGCCCAGAGATTTGTTGTTTGAAACTGTCACAGGACTGATTTGTGTGCAGGTCTCGCTGTTTGTGTATTCATCTGAAAGTCTCCTTTTCCTATTGTTTAAAATTACTAAAACCATCCCACATGGCCAAGAAATAAGAGGAGGCAATGATTTCCTTAAATTGTTGTTTTTGTCCGTGAGATAGATCTTCCATCAGCCCAGCAAGTAGCCAATAACACATCATAAATTCCTTTGCTTTAAGACAAACTCCCCCGATAACACAGGTCAGTGGTTCCCAAATTAGTTCTGAACACAGACTTGGGATTCTCAAAATCCATTCCCAGAAAAGAAAAACAACTCGTGTGAAGTGAGCTATATTTCAGGAAGTGTAATGGGAAGGTTTTTACCCTAATAGTAATTTAAACTAATAAGGTAAATAAATACATACTTTTTTTCCCTCTCTCTTTTTCCTTCCCAAAGTCAAGGTCTCAGAAATCATCAAGCTGCTTGATACCGTAAGCAGCAGTAAGAGTGAAGGCCCATCTCAAGGCTCTGTTCTAGAACTCACAGATATGCTGCCGAAGTCAAGGCTGTGAACAGGAGAGTGAGGGACATTTTTGCTGTCCCTAAACAGTGACTAGTCAGTTTAGTCTGATCAGTTAAGCCATCTGTGGTCGTCAGCCAAGTCTGAGCCTTTCTGTGACAATAAACAACTCTTTTATGTCATGATCATATACAATTCATTACTCCGGGGTTGTGTATAGTACTGGGGATAACCGATCAAATGCATGTGGGTTGTCTGTAATGTACCCATCAATATAAAATGTTGCTCTTTTTTGGCAGCCTACATTTCCCCTTGATGCTGGTGTTTCGTGGGGTGGGATTTTTCTTTCTTCCACATCAAGTCCCACCCTTCGCGCTGCATCAGCGTCTCCGTGTGAACTCCCTTTGTGTCTGTTCCCACTCTTGTTCTATTCTTTCTTCTACAAAGCTCCCATCTTTGTAAAGTATGTGATTATCTAACTGCTGTGCTATACGCCTTGAAACTAATACAGAATAATATTGAATGTGAACTGTAATAGAAATTAAAAGAAATTTTAAAATTTCTTAAATAAACAAGAAAGAAATGTCCCATCAGAAGGACCCTTTTATTTCTTTTTATTTATTTACTAAAGGCTCGGTGCATGAAATTCATGTATTGGGGGGTAGGGGGAGCGTCCCTCAGCCTGGCCTGTGCCCTCTCCAATATAGGAGTACTCGGGATATGTCCAACTGATGGCTTAGGCCCGTGGTCAGCAAACTGCGGCTCGCAAGCCACATGCGGCTCTTTGGCCCCTTGAGTGTGGCTCTTCCACAAAATACCACGGCCTGGGCGAGTCTATTTTGAAGAAGTGGCGTTAGAAGTTTAAGTTTAAAAAATTTGGCGCCCAAAAGAAATTTCAATCGTTGTACTGTTGGTATTTGGCTGTGTTGATTAATGAGTTTGCCGACCACTGGCTTAGGCCCACTCCCTTCCAGCAGTCAGACATCCTTAGTGCTGCTGCGGAGGCAGGAGAGGCCCCCCATGGCTGCTGCGTTCACCATCCATGAGGGTCTGCCCCCTGGTGGTCAGTGCACATCATAGCAACCAGTTGTCCCATATTTTGGTCAATTTGCATATTACCCTTTAATTATATAGGATTTATTTATTTAATTTAAATTCTCTATTGTTTAAAGTATTACATGTGTCTCCTTTTTCCCCCTTTGATCTCTCCCTGGCCACTCCGGGGTTCTGGCCAGTGTGGCTCAGTTGGTTGGAGCACCGTCCCACACAATTTCAGGATACTTTTAAAACACAGATCTGATCACACCCCTCCCCTATCCATGCCCTTACTGTGGCCTCCACAGCTCTGCATAGACTAGCTCTGGACACTTCCCAGCTTCACCCCTCATTCTCCTGCTCCGTCACTTCCCTCCAGCCACGCTGGCCTCCTTACATTTTCCTGACCACACGAGGCACACTCCCACCTCAGGGCTTTGGCAATGCTTAGCACAGACCTCTGCTGAAAAGCCCTCCCAGCAGAGCTTTCTCCCACCACCTTACCTGTAATAATAAGCCCATCACCCTGGCAACTGCTCTCTATCCCTTTGCCTAGCTTTTGAATAAAAAAAAAGAAAAATAGTAAAGGAGAGTTGTATATAGTGTAGGTAAGCTATTAAAGGACCTCTGTAAAATAGGTAAGTTGTTCTATTTCTTCTTAGGCACTTCTTTTGCCAGCTTTTCTATTAGAAATTTACAGAAAAATTTTCACATTTGTTTGTTTTTACTATTGTTTTTGGTTTGTGGTTTGAACTTAATTGTATTGTGTGTGTGTTTTTTAACAACTAAATGAATTCCACATGAAGAGAACTGTGCTCACTCTCTCTCCTCTCCCTTCAAACCCACAGGCGTCTTGCCGGAAACGCTTTGACATCCATTCCCAGGGGAGCCTTTGCCGGCCTCTACAGTCTCAAAGTTCTGTGAGTACCCAGGTGTGACCTGGTACATTTCTGACTCGGGCGGCAAGTGAATGCTAATTAGCTTGTAAAGACAGAGTTCCTCAAATAACCTACTTGGAGCATTTGGGATAATTCTTCTAAATTCAAGTCTACCTTCGTGGGTACCCCATAGAGCAATATTGTACCTGGCTAGATTTGGGGGGGGGGGGGGGGGGAATCACCTCTCTTTTTCTAACTTTTAACATCTGAAGTTGTTTGCCTCTAAATAATCAACTTATCAACTCAAACTTTTAAAAAAGCATTTCCTTTCCTTTTGTGTTATGATGTTAGGGAGAGTTTCTTGAATCATTTTGATCACCAAGTGAATAAATCAACCGTGATGCTAACATAATGAGATCACATCTTCAAACCATTTGCAAAGTTTGTTTCCTTATGATTAAAGATCTGCTAAAAAAAAAAAAATACCAACTTTATGTTACAATTGTGAATAGATGTGAAAAAGCCTAGTGATTGTAGATACAATGAGTAACTATTTGATAAATACTAATTCATTGAGACTTATAAAAGTGGGTTTTCATATTATTTAATGTCCAACTTCCCAATATTTTTAATCAGATGACTCATTATTATTGACTATCTCCTTATTCTAGCACCTATTGTTTAATTTTCTTTTAGTTTATTCTGTGTAGGAGGGAAAAAAACACCTAGGTAGAGAAAATAGGTCACTCAAATTGAAAGTCATAATAGGAAAATTTTATCTCAGAGAAAATACCCTGATTTTACTTTCTTTCTTTGAGATAAAAGTTATAAACAATAAAAGGTCATTTGATATAGTCCTGCTTAAGGGAAATTACATTTTATTCATCTCATGGATACATGGGCTATTTAAAAAGTAATTTAGTTTAAATATATTTGTTAAATATTAGTTAAAGGTCAAATTCAACAGCAGAACCATTTTTGGTCTGCTTAGATAATTGGGTTTGGTCCCCTCGGTTTTGAATTATTTTTACTATTAGGCAGAAATATTTTTTAATTGTCACATTGCCAAATTCTAATGTTAATTCATTATGTGGTAGAATTCTGAGTTAGAGCATCAACTTCAGTACACCTATGTTTCCATCAACACAGCAAAATATTTGGAGCCCTTCTAAATACATCACATAAATCAAGTTTGGATAAGACAAATAAGGGAATATATTTTCTTTGTTGATCTATGTACCATTAAGCATTTTGGATACTTATTAAATTGATTATACCATAACTGATCATCTTAATTCACTTAACAAAAATGTAAGTCAGATATACTGAGCTAGAGTGTATGTGTGTCTGCATATCTATGTCTGCGTGTAAAATGTACCATCAGCTGCCAAAACCGGTTTAGCTCAAATGGATAGAGCGTCGGCTTGGGGACTGGAGGGACCCGGGTTCGATTCCGGTCAAGGGCATGTACCTTGGTTGTGGCCATATCCCCAGTAGGGGGTGTGCAAGAGGCAACTGATCGATGACTCTCTCTCATCGATGTTTCTAACTCTCTATCTCTCTCCCTTCCTCTCTGTACAAAATCAATAAAATATATTATTTTAAAAATGTATCATCAGCCATCATAATTATATGTAAATTGTGATAACATAATTTAATACATATAAATATATAATAGAATATCTATGATTAGATATACACTAGATATGATAATTAGAATTAGAATTTTATATTTTTGAAGTTTCATATTTGAATTACTTAAGTTTAGTATGAATTTTTACAACATTTTTTAATTTCCTAATTATATATTTCTGATTTTATCATACTGCACAAAACATCCATGAAATTGGAGATGTTGTCTGTCTTGGCTACTGATCTATCCCCAGCTTCTAGAATATGCCTGAATCATAGTAGACACTCAAGAAATACTGGTCAAATAAATGATCCAGATTGATGATACAGAGAGGACAAGGGGTTTCTAGACTTGTTGACTCTTCTTCATTGAGTATGATGTAGACCTAATGCTATATGTCTATTAGTGGATTATCAGTTGCATTCTAAACAATGTGGGCTTCTCCTTGTCAGCAGGTTTTATTTACCCAGAATACTTTTGACACACTTTACTGATTCTTATGGTGTATTTTGCCTAAACACTTCAGAAGCTTTAGATTAATCTGAATTAAAAATGAAAATCACAGGCTCTCTCTCATGCTTGTCATTTTTATATGTACTTCTTCCACCAGAATGGAATGTGGTGTTTAGGTAGACTCTCTCATCTATCCTCTCCTAACCAATCAATGTCTCCGGTCTTCTACACAGTCAGGGTCTCAGCAATGCATGGGAAGTGTGAGACTCAAAGTGACATTGAATGCGTTACTACTGCAGATACATTGTGTGGTCATGCCCTGAAGAGCTTATAATCTAGTTTGTGGGATCAAGGCAAATAGATCACCTGTAATTCTGTGTTTTTTTCCACCTGTAATTATTAAAGTGTGTCTAGAACTATGTGTAGGGCACTGTGGAACTACAGAGCTTGAGAAGAATTTAGTCCAGTCTGATGGTCAAGGTTCAGCTTCCTGGGAGAGATGTTTCCCCAAAGAGATGACCTAGGAGCTGAAACTTGAGGGGACAAGATGCACAGAGACACAGAGGCAAGAAGTACCTGGCATATGCAGGCAGCCCAAGCATGTGCTGGGGCTCAGGCATTTAGGAGGAGGTGGAGAGTGTCTGGAAAAGAGCCTGGAGTAGAAAGAGTCCTGGTCTCAGGAATTCCATATAGTCTGTCAAAAAAAAAAAAAAAAAAAAAAAAAGCATGGGCATTATTATGTTCTAGGCAGAATGAGGAGGAAAGGAAGAGATGTAAGCAAGGAAGTGTTCAGATTGCTCAGTTTAGCAAGATCACTGTCAAGGGGAGGAGGATTCAAGGGGAGTATGACTCCTGCCAGAAATTATGTGCACTCTTTCCTTTGCTTTGCTGCTTAAGGGTTAATATCTAAGGAGCAGATTCAGTTGTCAAATATTTTGGAAGTATTTCAGTGTTAGAGCAGTGATTTCCAACCACGGTGGTTCTTCCTGCCATAGAGTGTTTTGGAAATTTGTGAGGGTGTCTTGTTTTTCCAGGTGGTATACTTGGAGTAAGCTGTCCTGTGATATGCAGCACAGCCCAACATAAAGATTCTATCTACCACATCATACCTTAGTGTTCCTCCACACCAAATGTAAATCAAGAATACTTTCATACCTAATAATACTGAGAGGTTTTCCAAGAAGTTCTCATAAGACTAATACTTTGTACAGGAAAGATTAAATGGAATAAATATATTCTCTCAACATTATTAAATAATTAATTTTGTATCCTGTCTATTCTAGGTATTATATGATTTATAACCACATATTTAATTAAAAATGCAGTTAGTGCAGTAGAACGAGTACTCCAAACAACACAAAACAATGAAAGATATATAACCATGGAAATGTAAAACTTCTTCTTACAAACAATTATCATTAAATAGCAGAGAAACATGAAACACAGACCTTACCCTCATGGAAACTCTCAATATATATATATATATATATATATATATATATATATATATATATATGAAAGCCTAAGCAACCAAACGACTGAACAACTGCTCACTATGACACACACTGACCACCAGGGGACAGATGCTCAATGCACAGGGTTGGGCTCCCTCTTGTCTGGATAGGGCCTGCAGGAATCGGGCCTGTGGGGATCAGGCTCCCTCCTGTCTGGATCGGGCCTGTGGGAATCTGGCTGAAATCAGCCAGCAACATCCTTTGAGGGGTCCCAGATTGAGAGAGGGTGCAGGCCAGGCCAAGAGACTCCACTGGTGCACGAATCCATGCGCCAGGCCTCTAGTTGTTTTATAAAGTCCAAAAGTCATAACAAGAAAGGAATAACTGATAGTACTGTAGCACGGTAAGAAAGATAATATTAAAGTAATATTTGTCTGGGACCCTGACCAGTATAAGGAGGGCATATGGTAAAAGAAGAGAAAGATACTAGCAGTACAATCCATTGAGATGCACAATGAAGACAGCAACAGCAGTCCTTGGCTGGGATTGTTTTATATCGAAACTTGTTTCTATGAGCTCTAGAAGATCACTAATGTTTAACATTATTACCCCTGTAAATATTGACCTTCATAAAAAATAAGTTATTGGTTCTGTATTCCAAAATACCCAGTCCAGTGGGATTCTAAACCAGGCTGTCCTCAACAAAGGTACATTGTCTTACGGAGGCCATTCAGTCACAGAATGGCTCATTTCCTGCCGCCCACTATCAGAACCAAAGCCACGTAGAGGGGATGGGTAAAACTAACCATAGAAAGGTCACAATTAGCCAAACTGTTCTAATTCCCACAGAGGCCCAGAATAGAGCCTTAATAGCTACTTGATACCTAAACACAGGACACTTAGGTAGAGGGAATACCTAAGGACCAAGCCACCAATTGTTACAAAGTCCCTATTCAACATATTATCTCCCTCTGATTCACTCATTGTTCATGTGCTTATTTAGCCTATTGGCAAAAAAGATAACCAAAAAATTGTGCTGTTGAGTAGCATGGGGAAGTTGTATGGAGTAGGGAGTATTTTAAAGCTCCTCAGGGAAAGAAATTAAGAAACTATGAAGTCATCCTTTGTCTCTAGAGAAGTGTTTCATTTTCTTTTCTTCCCCATATGTGAATGGGGGGGGGGGGGGGGGAGGAATGAGGTTATAAGTGGCTAAACCCGTATTCTGTTCAAGCACATTCTGCTTATATTCAATATATTCAATAAAAGAGCATTTGCAAAAGAAATCAGCAGCAGTGTTGGGAATGCTTTCTGTTTTAATTGCACTCCGTGGTGCTGTAAACCTTTTAATTGTTTCACCTCCCTCTGGAATATCTTAAACAAAAATAGAATTTTCTAATTAACTCACTGGAGACTTATAAGGATGTAATGGAGATAACTTGCTCTTGTTTTGTCATTTGAAAGTAATTAAACAAAAGTTCTTAATGTAGGAAAAGATCAGGATTTAAATTGTGGATTTTTTTAATTATATTTTTTGTGTTTTACTGGTAAAAGTAGTTGATAAATTAAATTGTTGGGAGGTAAGTCAAGAGTAGGTTTAAAAGTTATCATTAATAAAGCTTGTTAAATTCCATTTTCTGAGGCCAGGCATATAAAGTTACTGAGAAAGTTTGCAACTGTTCAACAAAGGAAAACCATCTAAATATCTCCTGTGCTCTACTCCAGTTTTACAATATTTTAGGAAGATCACATTTTTATAGTTTCACTTGTTGGTTAGCAAAGCATAGGAGAATGATTAATATACACTTTGTACCAGTAATATACTATCTACAAAGTTTAGACATTGATGATCATGTATCTTATGATTAATCACTCAACAATCAATGACTTAGAAAACATATCTATTAAGTTAAAATTATATAACATATTTAAACTGCTTGGAAAAGTGTAAAGTAACATAGAAATGTAAACTTTTAATGTTCCGGTCAATTATGCAGCATTACAGAATTCAACCTACAATTTTTGGGACTCCCTAACTGGTCAGTGAAGTGTGGGGTCTCCCTAAAACTTGACTTTGTTTGTAAAGAATTAACATATTTTGAGACTCTTAATTTATGAAAAGTTAGATGAATTCAACTTTAACATAATGAAATTATCTGATTAAAATTTTGGAATGCAAGTAACACAAGTATATTCCTTGAAAACAGAATCTCAGTCATGGTGAGAAAAGCATAAATTTTATGACCTCCAAATATTTTTCACATCTTATTTGTATATAAATTTGTATTTGTATATATGAAAGTATAATAAACACCTTTAAATTTTAATCGTCAAACAACTTGTTAATCAGAGGTTATTCTATTCCCATTATACAGATGAAAAATCAAGGGTCAGTTAGGTTGAATCATTTGCTTTCCAAGTCTTAAACCTTAGGACTTATTTCCAAGCTCAATGTCGCCTCAAGTTCATCTGAAAATATATCAGGAATACTTAGCATAAAATAGGGTGGCTCTTAGTCTGTGGTACCTTGCCCAGAGCACAGACATCAATACAAATTCTCTGGTCCCGGCCCCAACCTACTGAACAGAAAACTTTAGGGGTGGGGCCAGCAGCCAATGGCTTAACAAGCCTTTCAGTGGATTCTGCTGAACCCTAAAGTTTGAGTAACAACCTCTGGCACAGGTTTTGTTGCTGCTGAATTTGTTTTCTGAATTAAAATGTCCCAGTACCATCTCACTGTTTCATTAGTTTTGAGAAGGGGCTCATCAATTCATACAAAGGACCAACTTTTATTGAATGCTTACCATGCAGCAGGTATTGTTCTATGTACTTTCACTCATTGGATGATCACAATGACCTTGTGGGGAGTGTAGTTACTGGTCACTGAGACATGGAGAGTTTGGTGATTTGTCTCAGATCACACTGCTAATGGCAGAGAAGAGGTATTCAAACTCAAGAACCCATGCTCTTCACCACACCTTAATCTATTCAACTTGAGAATTTGTACATTCAGCAAAGATCCCTCAAGAGTTAGACATACAGGGAGCTGAATACCAGTTAGTCATCTAATGAAAAGAAGCTTCAATTGTGGTGATGAGGGAACCAGGCAAATTGTTTCTGAAATCCAAATGTAAGTTTGTTAACCTAAAAAGCAGAAAAATTTCTATAAAATGTCTACTTTCCTAAAACAGTCTTCTGCCTCTGGCTTACATGGACCATGCAATACTCAGAGGGATGGGAGTGGCTACAAAATGATTGTGTTATTTTATGAATAAGGTAGCAAAATATAAGGAATCTAATGGGAATTTTTCCACGCTATTTTCCCATTTGCGTGTTTGTTATTGCATTGTTGCCAGGTGTTGCCATTCTGTAGTCCCCATGTTCTGAAAAGAATTGTTGAGCCTAGGTGAGCAAAATTGCAACTACTTCACACACACACACACACACACACACAAAAATGTAATTTATATCAAAATATGGCCATGAGCAAGAAAAGAGAACTTCAATAGATTCCTACGTTATCCTTATTTGCATTTTGTCTAACCTATCTCGGCACCACAGATCCTTTAAAAACGTAAATATGATCACATCATTTCCCACTTAAACCCTTGAACATGAATGGCCCAAATGTGCTCCAGGAGAGGCCTCAGGTTCGCTCTCTCAATCTCTTGCTCTCACTCATTTCTCCTCAGACACAATTGATCCTTTGCTGCTCCTTTAACAAGTCAAGCAAGCTCCAACCTCAGGACCTTTGAATTTACTCTTCCCGCCGGGACCGGTTTGGCTCAGTGGATAGAGCATCGGCCTGCGTACTGAAAGGTCCTGGGTTCGATTCTGGGCAAGGGCATGTACCTTGGTTGCGGGCACATCCCCAGTATGGGGTGTGCAAGAGGCAGCTGATCGATGATTCTCTCTCATTGATGTTTCTAACTCTCTATCCCTCTCTCTTCCTCTCTGTGAAAAATCAATAAAATATATTTAAAAAAAAAAAAAAAAAAAGAATTTACTCTTCCCAGTTCCTCAGCTCCTCCCAAATATCACATGATTTGCTCCCTAACTCCATTCTGGTCTCTACTCAAATATCAACTCCTAAGAGAAAACTTCCATAACCACCTTTAAAATGAAAATCTCATTCTTTGTTACTCTCTATCCCAAACCCATGTTTGTTTTGTATTCGTAGTACTTACCACTTGGCTCATAGGGTGAAATTCATTCAGTTAAATTACCTGTCACTGCCCATGTTTGTCTGTTCTGCTGTTTCCCTGACACCCAGAACAGTGCCTGACACAGCTACGGCCAGTTATGGTTAACTATTGTTGACTTTCTTTCATATTTTTCTCTATTTGTTTTAATGTGCAGTATGCTGCAGAATAACCACCTACGGCAGGTACCCACGGAAGCGCTGCAGAATTTGCGGAGTCTTCAATCCCTGTGAGTATCGTTGAAATTTCAAAACGTCCTCAGGATCAATTTGGGAAGGAGCATTGAAATGTCCAGGTGACCAGTTTAGTAAATTCCTGGGCTGGAGGTCCTACCTAAATAAGTTGGGAAAGAGAGTTTCCATTAGAGCAGCAGTTCTTCACTTCCTCATTAAACAATGTGTATGGGAGGGACTGGTGTTGGGGTTGGGGGGTTCAGGGCAGAGGCTTAATCGTAACACCTTCAGCCAAAGCCTCTCATATATGCTGGTATCTCAGGACAAAACATATTACTTTCAGGATCTTGTCCTACATTCTCCTGTAATTTGAAATGCCTGATTTTGAATCAGGAATGTTCTCCCTTTTTTATAATATTTATTTTTATTGATTTCAAAGAGAAAGGGAGAAGGAGAGATAGAAACGTCAATGATGAGAGAGTCATTGATCTGCATGCCCCTACTGGGGATGGAGCTGCAACCCAGACATGTGTCCTGACTACGAATCAAAGGGTGACCTCTCAATGCTCAACCACTGAGCCATACCAGCAGGGCTGTTTTCTCCTTTTATCTGGAAAAATGGGTGTCACAATCCAGACACCTTAGCATCTTCAATTTATTCTGTTTTTAGGTGATCTGAGCTGCCTTGTAATGAAATTTGCTGAGTCAAATAAATACTTAATTTTTTTTTTTGTTTTGTCTGTACATCAGGGGTTCTCAAATCAATAAGCCAAGCTCTAATAGTCTATCTTAAAGTCTTACTGCACAGGCCTGCAAACCAAGAGCTTCTCCATCCCACACACACACCTCAGATTCACACATCATACACACATGCAAAGCACAAACACACACACCACACACAGACACATAAACACAAACATACATAGCAGTGGTGGTTGTGTTCCCTACTGTGAATCTACAACATTTCCATCAGGAGTTTCCACCCTCCACTGATTTAAAACCTCCGAAAAAATAAAAATTAGCTATCAGATGTTTTGGAGCTTGGGTTGTAAGCAGTTGTTGACAGTAATTATTTGCCAAAACTATGCCACAAGTACTTATTTGGTCAGTAAATATTTACCTCATCAGCATGCGTAAGTATTTACAATATATTGCATGATTTCCAGTATACATATGTGCGATATATGTTCTCATCTTACTCACCCTGGAGGTCCCCCTCTGTCAAACAAAATACTGGCTTCTGGTCTACAATGATGAGGGAGATAAATGCATAAGAAAGGAAAATAAATATTGTAGGTTCCAGTTGAAAATCACTGTAAAAAGCCCACCAGTTAATCATTACCCACAGTGTGCTTAACGCCTTTTGTTGAGATGACATGAAAGAGGGAGGAACGTGAGATTTGGAGATGATACTTTCTTCCTTTGATCTTTTTTTTTTTTTTTTTTTTAATGAAAGCAAATCTGGGCTTGAGACCATTTCAAGCTTTTCACTGCAGGCAAACAAAGTGACTTCCTAGGTTTTCACCATCCTATAGATAAACATGCCCACAAGGGCCCCTTTGTGGCCTGGGACAGGTCTGCGGCATTTTCAGGAGCTCCTTAATGACATAACAGTATCGCTCCTCCTTTGTTTCCACCAGCCTTTTCCTGGAGGGAGGAAGCAGTCAGAGAAGCAAGCCGCTCTCCCGTGGGTTGTCTGTGTAAGGGCACGGGGTCCCATGGCCGGATGGAAAGCGAGATAATAGCGGTGGCCAATAGGAACTTTAAACAGCTGTGAGGCAGGCAGAAGATAGAAGGATAAGCATTTGTAACCAAAAGCCACTATCAGCTGAAAGAAGATCACAACCAGAACACACATAGAAGTGAACTCTTTGAGAAAGGGGAAACCATGAATCTTTTGTTCGCTCGAACTGGGTGGTGCCTCTCTGATAAAGGTGTTCAGATTTAGTTTCTTACTGTCTAGATATTTACTATTCACCAGGTGTCTCTTGCATTTGGTTTCTGGTTCGCCAAAAAACAATTGCCTTTGAAACTTTATAAGTATGTGTTCCCTGTAAAAAAAAAAAAAAAAAAGCCAGGGGTTAACTTTCTAGTATGACACTTATCACATCCAACAGAGGCATCTGGATAGACACTGGGCCCTGGTACCCGCTGGACTGTATCAGCTGGTTATGTCTGGGGTCCCTTCGCCGGGCGCAGACAGACCCTTGTGAGGTGCTAGATGTTGGCCATTCGTGCTGCCATGCCACTTTTCTCACATTTCTTTGTGCTGTTTTGATACAAGAGTTAAGACTTGACCAAAAAAACAAAAAAAAAAAGCAAAGATTTAGTCACCAAGTACACAGATGCCAAATTGTACCAACCGAAGGAGCCCTGTACCCAGTTTGTGAGTTTGGGCAACAGTAAGCCCCTTTAAATTTTTACTATTGCCCCAAATTCAAGGTATTTAATAGCATTTCTCCTGCTTCCTTTAAGCATTCGTTTTGAGGCTAATGGTCATTCCAAATATGCATTTCCGTATCCATCCTGCATCCATTTTCCCTGCCATGCCTGAGCCTCCTACTATTTCTGCATCAGTGTGAGTAACAGAGGGTGAGAGCAGCCGCATGCGGCTGCCACCACCGGGGACACCTCCATGCAGTTACTGAAAGGACTGCTGCCACCCTTAGACCTCCACCCTTTGTCCAACGGTTCCTCCTTTTCTCTCTCTCTCTCTTGATGTTTTTATTTTCTTTGTATTATACATGCTCTCTCCAAGGAGCACTCCACCCTGTGCGGGGCAGTGGACGCAGCACCCTGAATACTTGCCTGGCTCTGTAACTTCAGGGGGGATAGAGGGGACTTCTCAGCCCTGGCTGCCAAGAAGAATCGTTAGGCTGCACCCCAACACGATTAAATCCGAACGTTAGTGTTGCCTAACTAGTTTCATTACATAGTTAAGAGCTTCTTAAGTGAAGACCAGGAGAACGAGTGTCCTGTAGCATTCTTTCGGATGATATGTACATATTCTCCAGAACTCTTTTTAAACATAAAATAGTAACAAAACCCATACTTTGCATTCCAGTATGAATTACAAACGTACGTGGACTACGAAGTAAAAGTCAGGGTTGCCTTGTCTGTATTTACTTGAAACCGCTCACAACTGCTCATTAACTCCACTGACAGCCTGGGCAGGTGATGTTCAGAGGCCACCTGCTGCATGACCCTGGTATTCAAATGTGGTCCAGCAGCATCAGCACCTCCTAAGATATGCAGAACCTTGGGCCTCATCTCAGTCTCAGTCAGAAGCTTTGTTTTAACGATGTTCTCAAGTGATTTGTATGGCCAACGTATTTGAGAGATCAATGTTTTTTGAGTGTTCTGTGCTATTAACAAAGTGGCCTAGCCAACCAAGAGTGCTTGAGGGCTACTGAAACAGGTCACTGGTATACTCTGCTCCACTCCTATGACTCGGCTTCATTGAGGAAAGTTTAAGAAACTTGATATATTGAAATGGGTAGCACTGCGGTGAGGAAGAAACAGATTGTACTCGTGTTTCAAGAGAAGTAATTTTCCATTTATCCTGCATAAACAAAAGACATTTTTGCTTTGTTCATAATGAAAACAGATAGGTACATTCATGTTCCTTTAACTCTCTCCTGATGCTTACAAATTGCTCAGCTAAAGAGTGAGAGGCCAAGTCCACGCGCGGGAGCCTTGTGGCCCAGGGCCGGCCCCTGTACAATGTGCGCGTGTGGCTTCTGACCGGTCGTGATTGCCCAGACACCAGTTGGGTTTTTTGTAGTGTAATCAAACATAACTTAATTTCCTTTCTGTTTTCTGGAAAGGAATCGGAAATGTAATCACAATTCACAGCGAGTTGTATTTCACCAAGAAAACATTTGGCGTTATAGACTAGGGTCAGATTACAGCGATTTGATGGAAATTCAAAACTTAACCCTCCCCTACCCTCACACCTTGTATCAATAGTTAAGAAATGTATCTATTTTTAAAAATCTTTGCTTCATTTGCATAGTCATTAATGATGTTCAAGCATGTCATTAGTGAAACACAAGATGATCAAAGGAAATGACGTAGCCAGTTAATCAGAGAATGATTTAATACATGTCGGGTTCTACTCCAAGTCTGCACTACCAAAGCTAACTGGGGAGCATGCTCAATCACAAAAATAATAGTTTGGTGAATAGAAAATGAAAGGAGAATGAGACATATCTTTAGTACTATCTCTATTCTCCAATTAGCTAATATTCACCACAGACTATATTCTGAAATCTAAGAGGAACGTGTAGTTTCTGCCTGGAACATGATCTATTCAGGCTTCTTTTTGTAATCCCCATTTCAGGGCCACAGACCTCACCTGTGGACCGTCATTCAAAATGTCAGTTAGTTCACCCAGATACTTCACAGTAGGGTATTGCGGATAATAGTCAAAAAAGATTAGAAGCTAGAGGAATGGGTGACGAGGAGGCAGTGGACTCACAGGGCTGAGCAGAAAGAAAGCAAGCCTAGAACCAGCAGCAGCTTTCTCCTGTTAATACCCAGAAGCCTATTGGGTTTCCAAGGATAAAGAATGGGAAGGAAGTAACACAAGACAAAGAGGTGTGAGCAGACAGAAAGCAAGGTGAGGTAACCAAGAGGATAAGATTAAAGGATCAAAGGGGTTTTTTTAAAAAAGAATAATGGTTTTAGTATTAGTGACAATCATTCCTTCCACTAAAATACTCTCCAGAAAGAGAAATTACAAGCCCATTTAATAAAAATATACTATGGTTTTTATTTGTTTTGTTTTATCACAAAAGCGCCAGCATATTTTGTGAGATGGAGGAGGACTTGGAAGTTCTAGGGATCGAGGGTTTTGTCTATTACACTGAGAGTTCTCTTCATGGAACCAAGCACAATCCAGCACCCAATGAATTGTAACGAGGAAGGGAAGTCTTGCCTGGTCCCCCCACTTCATTTGAACGTGAGAAGATAATTATTTTCAAAGACAAAGCCCTTTCATTGCAATGCTTATAAGAAGAGAGCTCACATTTGAGCGTTGTCTCAGAATCATATA